GCAAACTCGGGCACAGAGTGAAGCTGAGCATCTTGGAGAGCCCTGAATAAATTCTCTCCCACTCAGACTTGGCATATGGCAGAGTCTTCTCACATTGTGTTCTTACAGGAGAATTTCCTTGACCCTCTGCTTCTGTTTTCACTGTCGTGACAGTCTGCACTTTGGACTCATTTAGCTTCAACTTTTCACCTGTTAAAAAAATCTTTGTAGTAACCTGAACAGATCCTGGAGTGCACACAGCATGGAGGAAGTGTTTGGAGGATGCTCTGGGGAGTTGAACGGGCTTGGAAGCCAGCTCTGCCCACAGCCTCTCTGCAAATCACCCTGTTAATAAAGAGCCTATTTTAGTTCTGGAAACATGGAGCCTTCTCAGACTATTACCCAGCATGTGGTAAATTAAACAATCTTGGCCTGATTGCATAATGTCACTTGAAATTTAAGATCCTTTTTCTCTTTAACCCCTAAAATTTACAAGCCATTTTTGTTTAGATTTATTGTAATTAGATAATGATTCTGCTCCTTTGAGGCTCTTCTCGGAAGTTTTTAGCACACTTTTGGTGGCTAATCTCAAAATAACCGGGGGCAGGAGCACTGCTTGGTGTCCCTGTGTGTTTGTCTCAGTGCAAGGGGGGCAGAGTGGTTTGGAACTGGGGCTGTAGCAGGGGCCAGGCAAGGGGATTGCTGCTGTGTGAGGGCAAATGTGCCTCAGGCCCACTAAGCCACAGCTCTGCTGTCTTGTAGGAAGAGGAGTTTGAAAAATAGCTAGGAGGATTTCAAGTCCAGAGCTACCTAGGTCCATACTGAAATCCTTTCTTCTTCTGGACGACATTTAAACAGGTTCTTAATTTTTATCATGAGTTTATGTACAGTTTAAAGAAGGCATCTAATTTCTTTCAAAGAAAAGACATGCTTTTTTTTTAATTTTAATTTTTTTTTTCCATTAGAGTTCACATAGCAAACCCAGCCTTGGTCAACACAGGTAACAGGCACACATAAATTCTTCATCTGTGTTTCTTGCTGGTTAATGAACTATGTGGTGTTAATTTAGCAAGATCTACCCGTCCCCATCTTTTAATTTTGGCAGTGAGTTTTAGGAAGTGATGAGACCTCTCAGGGCATTTCTTTGGCACAATATGATTCATAGAACTGAGAGATTGTGTGTCATTGAAAAAAAGAAAGATACTGTAAATTAGCCAGAACATTTGCCTGCCAGTGTGAGGAGGCACTGCACAATATTTTCCAGTCTGGTTTTCTCTGTTTGATGTGCCAAGCATTCCTTGTGTCTTTGGAGAGATGCTCCTATATCCCAGTTCCTGTTAGGGTTCTGTTAGGAGGTCATGCTCATCCTTTCATCTGACAGTATTCTCACAGCCAGTTCTCCAACCCTGAACATAGACTTTTCTGATTTATTGGTGATTTCTGCTACCCAGTGTCCCCCTTGCCTCCTTCCTGGATTGTGAAAATGTGACTTGAAAGGGAAAGTTTGGGAGACAGGATTCTTGAGAAAAATCACACTTTTTCATTGCACAGTTCTATCTCCCCTAATCTTAGAATTGTCTGCTATTGCTCTGCAGGGACTCTTGGCTAATTAAAGTTCAGATAATGCTGGCTCAACCTCTGTCCCTGATGCTGTGCTGTTTATTCACGTCAGGTATTCAAAAGACGGTTGACATTTTCTTCCTTAAAGATCTTTCAGGTAAATTACAAGCATTTTACTGCTCTGACCTTTTCCTTTACAGGAGGAACTTTTGTTTTCAACATTATTTTGTGAATATAATGTTGGAAGGATGTAATTGAAGAGGTGTAGTTGTTCTAGTCTGTATAGCTGGTCTATTACCTGTAATGATCATCTAATACTGGTATTTATACGTGATTATCTCCTACCAAAATGCTTTAAATTTAAAGAAAAAGCCAGACTGTTTCACTGATTGGTTTGGGTGAATCACCTTTTTCTTTACTTCCCCTGAATACTACATTTGCTTTCCTAACACATTCATTTTGTGCCTGAGTCTCAGGGAGATGGCTTGCTCTATTAATATATTTCTGGAGTTCTCCTCTTACGGGTAGACTTTTATGGCTTTAATGTAGTTTTTGAAAATTCCTCTATTATTGATCTAGATATTATCCCAGCAGGAGTCAAACCCACAAGACAATTGTATGAGGATAATTTCTTACTACAGAAGCATTTTATTCTGAAAGCCTGCTGTGTGGTGTGTGCTTTGATGGATGACCCACTGTTTAAATGTGTATTAGACATTGGCTTGCTAATTAAATGCCTTAAGGAGTGCCTGTATCCATTCAGTCTCAGTAAATGCGTGGAATTTCTGTTATTTTATTTCTTGCTTATTCTCTTACTTGAGTTCTTTCTGTTTTCTGACTTTGTAGAGAAGAAGGGGAGTAATGGCAAAAAAAATCAAATAACTTTTTACCCTCACTCAAGACTTTCAGCTCAGGGCAGAGGCGAGACAATGAGGGCTCTCAGTTCAGAACTAGGTCTGCCAGATGGGAGGATGAGGAGGAGGAGAAGAGATGGGTTTTGCATTTCAGAAAGGAGTGAGAAGAGCACTCACCTGGAATTTGAGAGATATGAATTTGGATCCCTCTTTGCTCCTGAAGGACCATCTGCCATGAGGAAGAGGACCATAATTACAAAGCTGTGAGATGCTCTCAGACTTCTTGGTTGAAGTGCCTGTGCTTGAAGCATTTTACTGGGAGGGAGAGTGGAGAAAGTTGAAGAAAGGGGATAAAGTTATTCTCCTAATTTCTGAGTACTTAAATTGAAAGAGCAGCCAAGGACAGGAACAAGGACTTCTGTTCACCTGCAGTAAATGTCTCCTGAGTATCATGCCCTTGGAATTTTGTGTGTGTGTACAGCAGATAAGCATCAGAAGCAGTATACTTGCTGTTGAGGCCAAACATAGAATTTCTTCTACTCAGAAAGATTTGGGCTTTTTGTTTTAAGACAGAGGGATGTGTAAAGGATCATAGAATGGCTCAGGTTGGGACTTTGAAATTTATCTAGTCCAATCTCCCTGCCTTGATCAAGTTATTCAGAGCCCCATTCAGCCTGGCTTTGAACAATCCAAAGCTGGGGTACCCACAGCTTCTCTGATCAGCCTGTTCCAGTGGTCCCACCACCTCATAGTAAAGAATTTCTTCCTTATATCCAATCTAAATTAACCTGTTTCAGTTTAAAACGTTACCCTTGTCCTGTTTCTACAGGCCTTGGCAAAAAGTATCTCTCCATCTTTCTTGTAATCCTTCTTCAAGTATTGAAAAGCAGCAATAAGGTCTTCCTGACTCCTGTTCTCCAGGAAGAACAACCCCAAGTCTCTCAGCCTGTCTTCATGCCAAAGGTGTTTCAGCCCTCAGACAATTTTCATGGCCCTGCTTTGGAGCTGCTCTAACAGGTCCATGTCTTTCCTGCATGAGTCAGCTCCCTCAAGATCCTGGAATGCATCTCATCAGGTGCCGTGGATTTGTGGATGTCCAAGTCCTTCAGAGGGTCTCAGACCTGGTCTTCTCCTAAGATGGGTGGGACTTCATTCCTCCAGTCCCTGACTGGAGATTCAGGGTCTTGAGAGTTGTGGGACAAGCAGCTGACAGTGAAAACTGAGACAGAAAAAATTGTTGGGCACCTCAGCCTCCTCCATTGTCAGTTGCCACCAGATTCTCAATCTCATTTATCAGACACGGAATAAAAACATTGATTGATTTAACAAAAGAAAACTAATAGTTATTAATACTATCTTTTAAAATTTGAATTTGAGATCAGAATTGAAAAAAAGATTGTTCTTTAGTAGTGACCTTTGTAGGAACAAAGACATGGCCCTTCTTGAGCAGGGGAGTGGACAAGATGACCTCCAAGGCCCCTCCCAACCTCATCTCCTTCTGTGGAACCCCAAATAGCTCTGTCGGCAAAGGAAATTGTTATGTTTTCATTGCTGTCATCAGCTGTCTGGAAGCACAGTTCATTCTTTCCCTGTGACTGCTTTTTGCTTCTTTGAATGAGATGGAGGCAGAATCTTTCTTTCCATGTTCCTGAAGCAAGGCTCATCGTGAGATGCATTAGGAGGAGGAATGTCCCTGGTTTTCTTCTGAAAGTGCTTGCAGAACACATCCCAGGCCAAATCATGATGTTATTTTCATCTGTGTCCCTGGACATGTAATTATCTGTGCTGCTCCATCCATAGAGCTCTCACTGGTGCTTTCAAGAAAAGTGCCTTGTGTTCATAATAGAGATTTCAGTGGTGTAGAAAAGGAATTTGTGGTGTGAAGCAGAGAGGATTGTTTTATTCTCATTAATGAAACTTGCTCTAGCCCATGGACTACGTGTGTTAGGACAAGATGAATTAAAACCAATAAAAGCAGTTAGGAAATTAGGTAACACATCTCCCCTCAGTTGTCCTCGGGAGGGCAATCCAGCCCAAGCACAGGATTTAGAGATTCTAGTTGGTGTTTGGAGCTGGTCATGCTCATCTAAGCTCCCAGGGATGGGTGAGAGGGTAATGCTGGTCTTGTGTTATGTCTGTGAAACTGCTTTCCTCACCAGCCCCATGCTCTTGAGGACAATGCTAACTCCTGTTATCTCCTCCTCCTGTGCAGGAGGAAATTGTGATACTTGTTCATCAGGCCTCTGCTGTGCTTTTCTGTAGTTTGATTTATGTTTTCACGGAAGAGATTGCTTTGGGGCTGCACTTGAATATCCCAGACACTCCACTGATACTTGCATTTTGTGGATAATTTCTTAAAGTAAAGGTTTCTCAGTTCAGGATAGGGTGAGAAACAGCCATGTCCCCTCTAACAAATGCTGATTTTAACAGGACTGGTTATTTTATAGGTTCAGTGCTGCAGGAAAGAGAAACCATTTATTGTAAGCACTGGGGATTAGGGAAAATTAAAAAAATAATAATAAAAGAAAGGAGAGAAAGGCACATTCTGAAAGTGGGAGGAATTTGTTCTAATCCCTCTGAAATTATTTTCTTGCTGAAAATTGTTAGATCTGGATGGACTAAGCCAACTGAGTTACCAAGACAACATCTCCTGTCATGAAGATGACTACAGATCTGTTGATTCAAGAGCAACAACCAGGAGTAAGGGCACTGGGCAGCACAAAGGGCCCAGGATGGAGCCCAGAACTGGGGATGGTGACAGCCAGTCACACAGGGAAAGACATCTGGAAATGGAGACAGCATTTGCCAATCAGGGATTGGAAGTAAATGATGCTACAGACAGCTCATCAGCTTGGAGCCCTGAGGTATGGTGGATTGTCACTTATTACACATGGTGAAAGCTTTTGAAGGATATTGGGGGCCAAGAAAGGTTAGAGGAGAAATAAAGTGAAAAATTGATCAGTACAGGATAATGGATGGTACTCCTGTGTGCTTGTGTGCATGAGCATACACCTCTGCCTTTGTGTTTCCCCTTTTTCCTGGTGTTTTACCTCTTGCTGCTAACACTAATTCAAAGAAATGCTTTCATTGCTTGATTTCTGACTGCAGTCTCTGAACTGAAATTGGAACTTTAGCTACCCAGCAGCGTTCACTGACATTTAGCAAGGAACTCTCTGTGGTGGCCCAGGGCTTGGTCACTGGCTGTGCAGGGTTTGTGTGCCAGGACGTGCTATGTGGTCACTGGGTTAGATCTGTGTATTTTTCCAGGTAGTTTCAATGACTTAGACAATAGAAATAATCTGGAAAGCTAAAGGCAGACGATGGGGGTGGCCTGTGACCTGGCTGAGTGACCATAATCTTGTCCCCATTGATACCAGGCAAACTTTTAGGGAAGGAGAGAACCTGAGTCTGCTTTCCCTTAGTTCTGCAGTTTAATTTTAAATCCTTGAGGAAATATTTCAGATTTTAATGCATTATAAACACCTGATGACTTTGCACCCCCCTTTTCTCTCCTAATCTCTCTGCATGATAAGTTGATTTTCATTATCTTACCTCAGGATTAAATTTCTGGAAAAATATCAGCTTGCATCAGACATATTAAAAGAACAGCACAGAGGTTCATATTTTCTGCCTGACTTATAGGACAGCTGTGAAAACTCATGCCTCCATCAGCCTCTGAACAACAAGACTTTGAGGGAAGGTCCCTATCCCGGGAGCAGGCTGCCTGCAGCCAGTTAAAGCTGGGAGGCAGCTCCTTGGTGCAGATGCTCCAGCCCTAAGGGGTGTTTGGAGCAGCATTTTGGTTTTCTGCACAACTCAGTCCCACAAAACACTGCACACCACTCGGGAGCTGTGTGTGGCAGCAGCCCTGCCCTCTCTTTGTTGTGTTTCTGACACACACAGCTTGTCTGCCCATCTGAGGCTCGTTTCTCCTTTTCCATGTTGGATGTGCTTTGCCATGGTTCACGTGTGCCGCAGTGCCTCCAGTGTCCTCTTGTGTTTCTTTGGTTTGCATGGCTTGTTTTGCTCCTGGTGTCTACATTTTAAAAATGCTAAGAAGGATTCCAGCATACTGGAGCAGAAATGCCCAAGACACAGTTTATCTCTTACAAGCAGCTTCTCATTCAAAGGTATTGTGTGGATTAATGAAAGACTTTTTATTGCAGGAACTAAATGTTCTGACATGCCAGAAATGTCCAAGTGTTATTATGCTCCACTCAAAGGGCCTCTCTTTAGAGACAGAAATGGTAATTTTATGCCCCTGCAGTGGAACCACAAGTACCATTTCAAGCCTTGTCCATAATTAGCTGCTCTTTCGGGTTTCTCTGGCAGAAATGGACTGATTTTACTTAGTGAAGTGGATGTTGGCTGTCTTGAATGACCGGCTTAGACGTACAGTATCAATCAGGATACTTGGCTTGGCCTCTCAACAACCGTGCTGGGAAGAGGGAAAGAAAGAAATTCAGATGAAGCATCTAAACCCCAGTCTTTCCTTGGATTCCAGTTCAAGCGTCTGTATAACCAACATATTCACAAATCACTTAGAGCCCAGTTGGGTTCCAAAAGCAGAGAGTGTTATGGGTAAAATTTGGGTAGTTTGTTGCAAGTTAAGGTCACTAATTTTCTGTTAACTGTTGCCCTGTTGTGGCTTTATGAAGAAGCTAATTGTGTTTGAAGTTAGATAAAATGTTACAATAAGTTAAAATTCATGTTTGTTAAAAGTTTAAAGGGGTCCAGGATGGCGTGGGGGTTGTTCCCGAGGGGCGTGGTGACACCTTGAGAGTGAAGCCAGGCAGGGACATCAGCGACACGAGACGAGATTGGCGGAAGGAGCGGTGCAATCACTCGACGCCCCGAGAGAATAACTGGACAGGAATGAACAGTGTTAAGGACCAATGAAAGCCCCAAAAACGGACTAATTATCACGAGGATTCAAATCCAACCAGTCCTGGACCCAAGGGGGACACAAAAGGGGCTGTTGGGCTCCTGCTGGTCGCTCTCCTGAGCAGTTCGTTTCCGAGGGAGCGCCCGGTGTGTCGGGGGCTCGACACATTTGTATCGGTTTCCCGGCTTGCTGCGAGGGCACTCGGGCTTAGCTCGGGTCCTCAGTTTTCTACAGCTCATTTTAATAAACGAGTGCCTCTTTTACAAGAAAGTTGTTACTCTGTTTCAAACGACCGGGTGGCTTTCAGCTGAAAGCTCTGGCCTCGTTCGTTACATCACATTGGGGGCTCGTCCGGGATGCCACGCCCAGAGACGGTCCCGGACTAGGACAGGGCTTGGAGACGCGTCCAGCCCATTTTGGCTGCCGAGGACTGGACTACAACGGGACCGAACAAGGGTCCGCTGGTTCTCCCGAGGCTGGAGAGGACACAGCGACCCGGAAGGTGAGGGCCCTCCGAGAGGAGCGGGGCTCACAGCCCCAGGTGAGAGGTGTGGTGGGTTTGCCTATTTTTCTGGGGAACTCACCGAACCATAGAGCACCGGCGTTAACAGCCCCCGAACCCGACCCAGGAGCTGTGAAGCCTGTCTCTCCCCCTACGAATCCCCTAGCGGGATTCCTAGCTCGGGGGTCCTAAATTCCCTTAGGGCGGGCACCCTCCTTTTCCCCTTGTCCAAAGAAGAGGCACTCGCCTATCCGGTGGCCACCTTACACAGTGGTCCCCGGGTAGGTGTTTTTCTCCCAGCCCTAAAGTCCTAGTTCCCCAGAAAAATAGGCAAACCCTCAGCCTATTCTGGGGAACCACCCTCCAGGTGATTTAAACTAGTGGGTAGCTGCTGCGCCCCTATTTCCAGCAGACCCATTAACCCCCACCAGGAGCCAACGGTTTAAATCACCCCAAGGAGCCTCCAGCTCTCCGGGAGGAACGGGAGCCTAGGCAGGTAAGGGCGGTGGAAGGTGGGTACTCCCCGTCCCAGAGGGTCCCTAGGGGTACACGCAATCCACACTCGCTCCGGGAGTCTGCGTTAACAGCTCCCGTCTCACTCACACACTTTCATTCGCACCCCCTTGCACCTTCAACCCCACTCACACCTCTCACCTGGGGCTGTGAGCCCCGCTCCTCTCGGAGGGCCCTCACCTTCCGGGTCGCTGTGTCTTCTCCAGCCTCGGGAGAACCAGCGGACCCTTGTTCGGTCCCGTTGTAGTCCAGTCCTCGGCAGCCAAAATGGGCTGGACGCGTCTCCAAGCCCTGTCCTAGCCCGGGACCGTCTCTGGGCGTGGCATCCCGGACGAGCCCCCAATGTGATGCAAGGAACGAGGCCGGAGCTTTCAGCTGAAAGCCACCCGGTCGTTTGAAACAGAGTAACAACTTTCTTGTAAAAGAGGCACTCGTTTATTAAAATGAGCTGTAGAAAACTGAGGACCCGAGCTAAGCCCGAGTGCTCTCGCAGCAAGCCGGGAAACCGATACAAATGTGTCGAGCCCCCGACACACCGGGCGCTCCCTCGGAAACGAACTGCTCAGGAGAGCGACCAGCAGGAGCCCAACAGCCCCTTTTGTGTCCCCCTTGGGTCCAGGACTGGTTGGATTTGAATCCTCGTGATAATTAGTCCGTTTTTGGGGCTTTCATTGGTCCTTAACACGGTTCATTCCTGTCCAATTATTCTCTCGGGGCGTCGAGTGATTGCACCGCTCCTTCCGCCAATCTCCTCTCGTGTCGCTGATGTCCCTGCCTGGCTTCACTCCCAAGGTGTCACCACGCCCCTCGGGAACAACCCCCACGCCATCCTGGACTCCTTTAAATTTTAACAAACATTAATTTAACTTACTGTAACATTTCAACTGACTTGAAACACAATTAGCTTCTTCATAAAATCACCGCAGGACAACAGTTAACTTAGAAAATTAACAACCTTAACTCATAACAAACTACCCAAATTTTACCCATAACAGAGGGGAATTCTCTCAACGACTTCCACAGAAGGAGGATATGAGATGTGCAGCAAACCTGCACATGGGTGAATCCTGGGCAGCACGATGCTCTCAGAAAGGGCCAGTCTGTGAGGTCTGCAAAGCTTTGGTTTCCCATGGAAAGCCTGCTGACAAGGAGTTTGGCATTTCTCTTTCCCTCTTTGCTTCCAGTTCATGCAGTCTTCTCTGCAGAGGATCTGGCCACAGCTCTAGTAGCCCAATGTGAGATTTCCTGAAATCCAAATCTTTTCTAGCTGTATAGTCAAAATGCAGATGTCTGACCTTCAGTCTGCCTTACACACTGCCAGAAGGTGATATCTTCAGCCCTGCTGGGGCAGGAAGCTGTCTCTTGGATTTTCATTCCTGTAGGTTTGTGCTGATGCACTGGAGTTCACATTTTCCAGCTCAGACATGTAGATGAAAGCCAAGTTATGCCTCAAGCACTGTTGTCTCCACACCTTAGTAGCAGTCCTTAAATGTGCCTTGATTCCATCTCTTCAACAACAAATGCACAGATAAAAGTGTGGAGGGGTGAAAATGTGGAGGGAAATATGAGTCAAACACAATCCCATCTGATATTTAATATTATTTCATCAACCAGACAGAAATAACTTGTCTGCTACACAGGAGCACTTAACATTTTCATAACACCATGCTCTCTCCAGGTAACCTGGCCTGCCTTGCATTTTGTTTTAGCAGCCTGCTGTTCATACAGAAAGGTTTTTCTGTAGCCAAGCCAGAAATTTTGTGTGTTGCTCTCCCTTTGACATTACTTCTGTCAGACATACAACAGCAGGTCTCTAATCTGCACACTTGGACTTTTGCGTTCATGTGCACAAGTCTTAAACACCTCTGAAAATGTGAAAATCTGGAGCTTTGCTTGTCATGGCAAATGAATCTGAGCACTTCAAAAGTAGATTGACAGGAAGTAAACAAAATTTTTGATGTTTATCCGTGGCCCTGTTCGAGACACACCACCCCAGACACTTCTGAAGGGACTCAACACCAGACGTCCTGTGGCCCATCATCTGTTCTCTGAACAAAAAGATTCCTGTGTTGGAAAGAAGTGTTACTTGAAATGTGAAAAGAAGATAAATGTTTGAGGAGGAGGGTGACTCAGATGCTGGTGACAGGCCTTAATTCACCTTCTGGCTATTAACTGAAAATCTTTCCCTAGTACAGTGTATACTCATGTTTAAATACAAATCATTGATCACTATAGCAACCCCTTTATCATACGAAGCACATTCTAGCTCTAAGATAAAAAAGCACTGTTGAACAGAAACCCGCACACCCACTCAGCAAAAGGTAAGGTGAGCATCCATGGTTTTATCTTGTTTTATCAAGATGGTTTTTGTTTTAAAAGTAGGTAAAAGATTGTGTGTGAATTGGTCTGCACATGTGATTGTTTATTTTAAATTTTTATTCTGAATGTATTAGTACCCAAACTGAACAGAAGGAACAGATGCTTCTCTTGGGAGATTTTAGAAGGGTATAAAGAATCAATATATATTTAATCAGACTGCTTTTCCCCATTATCATTGCTTTAGCTGTAGGAAAAGTATTGAATTATGGGTTAGTATCTAGAAATGGAATTTCCATTCCACAAGAAATTCTGACATGGTGATTTCCTCTTCAAATTGAACACAGACTCTAATTGTTTTTAATTTCTAGCAGAATAAAATATAAAAAAAAATTAGCAGATTCAGCTGAATTGTTTGATTTTAACAATGTAAAAAAATCCACCTTGAAAAACAATTCAGTGTATGTTCAAAGTAACAGGTTAAGTAGGTCAAATTGTTTTGCTAGTGCCTCAATATTGACATGAAGGAAATGTAAAAATCCCTTTGTTTACTTTTCCTCTATGTAGAATGTTTGCCAAATTAACCATCTCCTGCAAAACACTTAAATATTGATGAAACTTTTTGTTGGAAATATTTCAACAAGTTCCGTTGCTTACTAGAGCGTATGGGGACTATTACACAAAATCAGGCAATTAACTATCATTGGCCTTTCCAGAAACAGTGGGATCCATATTTCACACAGCAACTGCCTATACTTGCAGGCACAAGTGAGGAGAAAAATTTCTTTTTAAATGGAGTTGGAATCAGAGAGGCAGTTGAACTCCAGTGGAGGTTTTACCTCTTCCTTCTCTTTGCAGGAGCACAATGAAGTGAACAGTGTTCCAGCTCATCATGGTGCCCATGAGCCCATCTGCAAATGTGGCGACCTGGATGTCATCTTCACCTATAAATCCTCAAGTCAAAAGCTGATAGCCACGGTCCTGGAGGCCAGGGACATCCCGGACAAGGACCGCAGTGGCGTGAACACCTGGCAAGTGCACGCCGTCCTGATGCCAGGCAAGAAGCAGAGGGGTAAGACGAGTGTGCAGAGAGGACCCATCCCCATCTTCCAGGACAAAATCACCTTCAGCAAGCTGGAGCCACAGGAGCTGAGCAGCCACGCCGTCCGCTTCCGCCTCTACGCCGTGCACAAGGTGGTTGGGGAGAAGATGATGGGCGAGCAGCTGTTCTACCTGAGCAGCATCAGCCAGGACGGGGAGGTGAAGGTGACACTGCTCTTGGAGCCAAGGAGTAACCTGAGTGTGAGTTTGATGAAGGACAGAAGGAGTTCATTCAATTGTTGGGGTTTTTTTGGTGAATATGGTGTTCCTGAAGTCTTTGGTTCAGGGCTGTCAGTGACTGGCAAATCTGACCTGCTGTCACTTCAAAAGTTATCAGTATAGGGAAGCATAGGGCATTACACAAAATCATGTGGATCTACTACATCTTCACGAGTCACCACATGCTGTGCCATTCAGATACAGAAGGTTTGTCTAGGAACCACCAAGACATAATTACTCTCAATTTCAATAAGGGCAGTGGTTCTTGTGCACCACTCTGTTGGTACTGCCAGTGCAGAAGCTACCTCATTTGGCCCTAAAAACCAGCTTGTGGATCTCCACTGTGAAGTTTCCATCTTGCCAGAAATGCTTAGTAACATTCCTCTACATAACAGATGGAAGTGGAGAGGTGGGTCATGTGAAGAGGAACTGGCTGTGCTGCTTCTTAATTTTCCATGCACATCACAGTTATATCCAGCTCTGGCTATGCCAATCAATTTGTGGAGATGAGCTCTGTCATGACTCATTGTCTGCAAAAATCTCGGAGAGAGGTTGTGCACGTGAAATGAATAAAATATCCTATTCCAGGTGATGTGTAGAATAGTGAAAGTGTCGTGGTAGCAAAGAGAGAAAGTAAGAAAATGCACGGTACATGGCCAAAAACTGCCAAACTGAAAAGTGTATTCCATCCAAAAGCCATTATCAAGGAGATGTACAGAGTATTAGTGTAGTAGGATGTTTGCTTATCTCACAAGCTTTGATTTACACTCGTGATAACACTTTACTCAGAGTTTCTCATCTTTAAAGAGAAAGTTCAGAGATGTGTTTTTGTAAAAGTGACGCTCTGATTCTTCTGGTGCCCCAGCATAATTAATTCTCAGTTATTGTAATTTCTTAAGAGAGAATCTTGCTACACAAGGCCAAAAGATATAAATTAAGGGGGGGAGGGGTGGTGAATGTCCTGATGATTCTCTCAGTGCTCTTTCCCTGCAGAGTGCAGATTCTCAGCTGAGTCTGTCAGCAATCTCTCACAGTGATAGCGCTTCCTCAACACAGTCCCTGTCGCATGGAGGGGTGCCAGAGCTGCTCGTGGGACTGTCATACAATGCCACTACAGGGAGGCTGGCAGTGGAGATGATCAAAGGCAGTCATTTCCGAAACCTTGCAGTTAATAGGCCGCCTGGTAAGTACTTGCCTTGCTATTAAATAGCGCCGGTGAGCCAAAAGTTGCTTTTTTATTTTCTTCCTCAAGGTACTCAACTACAGCGTTTCTGAGCTGGGTTTCCTTGCAGAGCACCTGATTGAAAATTAAGTGTTATTTTGGATCCATGTGCTGATAAATATTACAGGGGAATTGGAGGGAGTCATATGAAGGCTCAGCTGATGGGACAGTAAGACCTGATGTCTGCTTTATTGCTCATACCTTCACAATATCTGAATATGGCAAAAGTCCTGCTGTACCCAAAGCACAGAGTAATTCCCAACAGATCCATTAAAAAAAAAAAGCAAGAAGCACTTTCCAAGTGTTTAAATATTGCCATATGACCCACAGAGGCCCTGCCTGGTGCCATTAAGTGTTTCCCATGGCTACACTTGGTTTAGTCCCCTTGCTGTGCTGCTGGGTCACCTGGTGCTCTGGGCCCTTTGGGGACCCTCCTGCTGTGAATTCTCCACTGCTGCACAAGGAAATCTGCTGCAGAAAGGAGATTTGAAAGTTGTTTCAACAGCTGAGTTCACTTCCTCCAGTCCAAAAGGAAAAAAATGGAAATTTCCTTAAAGTAGGTTTAGTTGGTGCCTGAGCTGCAGTAAGTCCTTGAGGAGGATGGTGCAGGTAATGTCTGTGATAGAGATGGAGTCACAGCCACCTGATTGCTGCTGGGTTGCCTCATTCAGGGGTTGAACAGCTTCATTCATCTCCTGCTGTCCTTTTGCCTCCTGTCTGAAACCAGCAGCTGATGGCAATGTGAAACAACCTTTTTGTTTGTTGGTGTGTTTGCTTTCTGTGATGTGTGCCTGCTTGTCAAAGCAGGTAAACCTTTGACAGTTCCTTGCCTTCTCTGGATCTGACAGAGTATCTTGAGCTGCAAAACACTAAAATTGCTTTTGCAAGATGCTCCGCTCTTTGGTTCAGATCTAGCAAAATATTTATGAAATATTTCAGTACATGGATGTGAAAACTCAGGTTTTCCACTAAACCACAGAAACAGTCTATCAGTCAGTCCCTGGAGAATTAAGGGCAAGTCTGTGCAGCAGTAAAACACCTGACCCCAGCCTTTTGTTAGCTGTGACACTGATTACTTAAAGGCATGCTCTTGTTTGCATGTACATATTTTAATAAAAGGTTTTAAGTTGGGATCTTTTTTATTAATTTAAAACAGAGGTAGACTAAGGCAACCATGCTCCAGCAGGAAAGCTCTCCTGTTTATATATGCTGCAGAGTAGATACATCCTAAAGTTTTACTCTCAGAAATCAAATTAAAGTAGTCGCAATATAGATCCAAATTAATTTTCAGGTATCTGTAATGCCCACTCCTTTTTTCTGTAAATGAAATTTTATCCTTTCTGTACCCAGATGATACAGACTAGTGTCAGACTAATGTTTCTCAGTGCTAGATCAACTTTTAGGTGAAACACAGAAATCCATAAATTATCATAGGCAAACTCTGAACCTGTGAAAATCTACTTCTTTTGTTCCAAGTCACATTGTTGCTTCTGCCTTCTGAATTGTTCTTCTGTGCCTGTAAAGCCCCCAGTAGTGCGGTGAGAAAAAGAAAACCCCGTGAAGCAGAAACCGAAAGAAATTAAAAAGAAGGAAGGAAACCAGCCCTTGTCTCGGTGCTGGAGTAGCATTTCACTGATAACCCCTCAGGCACTGCAGAGCAGTCTGAAACATGCTGCTGGCTGAATGAGATGCTCAATAAATCCTTCACAAGGTGAAAGCTAAAACTGCTGAGCCCCTTTCTGGAGGGTGAGCAAAGAGCCCTTGTGTTTTCTTAAATAGGTGCTATTTGAGGTTCTGTTGTTCCAGGCTCAGAGGGATGATTTCTTTAAAGTATGAGGGAAATTTTGGATATAATAGCACTGTGGAGCACTTAAATGCCGGGCCTAAACTGCTATTCAGGGCAGCCATTTATAGTCAGACTGAGAGAAGCCAAGGAGCAGAATCCCTCCCCATTCCCAGCCCTGGATACACAGACCCTATACATGACCCATATGGGATCCTGCCAGCTTTTAGGAATGCCAGAGGAGTTTTGCACAGCAGCAAAGTCTCCAGTTGTGCTTTCTGCCCACCTTGACCCTCTTCTCTGCCACCTGTAGACCCACATCATGTGTGCTGCCTTCTTGGCGTCCTTGCACAGGGATTTCCCTGTGTGCAGAAGAAGGAACTGGGCTGGAGCACTGGTGATTTTATGTGTTAAAGACTGAAGAGGCTGAAACAAGTGGCTTTCTAGAGAAGAAAAGGGAGATGGTGCATGTCTCAGTGTTTCCTGGGCACATTTTCTCCTTCGCTTAAACCTTTAAACTGAGGTAAATGTCAAAGTCATGGGTGCTTAGGTGGGTAATAAATGGACTAGAAAACAGCTGGGAAACTTAAATCGTGCAGGCAGTGTCTCCAGGTCACATATGTGGGATTTAAGAGTAGTTTGGTCAAGGATAAGTGTCCAGGTATTGTTCTGGGGAACATGCTGGGTTATAGGCCTAAGCTTACAATCCCTGATCACACAAATAGATCCATTATCACTCAGAGCACTTAAGAGCACTCAAGAGCATGGCTCCAGCACTGGACTGTAAATTATCTGGGTGTGCCAAAAAGCCTTGTGCAGAAAAGCATCTACAGTTTTGTCAGATGTGGACACTGTTGGTATTTTAGTGCTAATGACTTGTGCTGTGCACCTCATTGTCCTTTCTTCTTGTAAAAATCATTAACCTGTGCTAGCATTTTGTAGGAGTTCATATTTTGGTCTGTGGTCTTGTATTTTCTTAGAACAAAATGCAGCGTGTTCGTTTAAAGGGTGTTTATTATTAAAAGAAAAAAGTAACAAGAGAAGCCTACACCACTAGCAGAAATGTCTTTAAAAATTTATAACCAGTTACATACTATGTGCACTGAAGTAATACCTTGGGATCACAGTGATGGACCAGGAATCATTTGAGCTAGTCAGTGCAGAAGCACAAAGCACAGAAATGTGTCTGCCCATGTGATGCTAAACCTTCATCAGCTGCTCTGCTGGGCGCAGCTCTGCCTCCTCTAATCCAGCCTTCCTTCTGTTCCCCTCTGCATTTCTGTTGGGGTTTATGTCTGTGTGTAATGCAATGTGAGAAGAACTATTGTGAAGTTATTCCCTTGCCTAAGAAAAGTCCTCCAAGCTTTTCAGCAGCTGCAGAATTAATCACACATAATAATTGCATCCGTGCATGATCATTATTATACCAGCAGCATATTAACCCCATTAAACAAATACAATAGCACTGGTGCTGGAAAAGACAGGAGGGGAGAGAAGAAGCTATCGGGATTTCTATGGGGAACAGGAGAAATTCTTGAAGTAAAGACTTGTCTGAAAACAAACATCTATCTGAGCCACAGGTAACAATGCCAGTAAGTATAGAAAATGTTCCCATAGCAAAATTAGGATCTTTAAATTAGGATCCTATTTGCTCTGGGATCAGAGTGCTTGAAAGCCATTAGTGGATTTTATTTTATCAGCTTATTTTTGAGGAAAGAAAAGTTATAATCCCTGTTATGTTCCTGGAGAACAAAGGCACAGGTTAATTCCTTTAATTACTTCAAAGCAGGCCAGAAAGCTGAATAAAAGAAATTAACTTTTAACCTGCATATCTTGCTCTGAACAGGGAACTGGCTTGAGCTCCTAAAGCTTTGTGATTCATGTTCTCATGTCATCAGTAATAGAGGAGGGATCTGTGCCAGGTCAAGCTGGGATGGATTCAGTCCTCCAGACACTGGATAACAGAGCAGTGGATGTGCTGGGAAGCTTCTTGCTGCTGAGTGCTTGCCAGTTAGTGACAAGACTGTAGAAAAGCACCTCTCCTTCTGCACCTTCTTGTTGCCCATCCATGAATATAGCTGAAGTAAGCTTATAATAAGAACAGCTAAGGAAGCTTTGTTCTGGGTGGAAAAGATGAGGCCAGATGCAAGGAGCCCCAGGAGGATGTCTCAGTAATGAGCAGGTGGGCAGTGAACTGGAAGTGTGGATGAGTGTAAGGTATTGCATGGGGACACATGTGGAATTCAAATGTGATCTGGATGGACCCGGAGCCACTTAGGAGTGAAATATTAGGCTTATGGTAAATAACTGCAGGAAAATGTCAACTCAAGGGTCACCAATAGTAGTGAAAAAACCCCCCAGATTTAAGGTGGACAAAATAGAAAATTGGTATTTGATTGTAAATACACAGTCGCTGGTGTAATGAGCACCGTGTACAGGTGTCTTCCTCTGTTCAAACAGAACATGGCAGAACTGAAAAGATGTGGTGAGGAGAGCTGGAGACAATCAGGGGAATGGGAACAGCTTCCAGTGAGCTGTAGCTGAATAGACTGTGCCTCCTACACAAAGGGTACTACAACAAAGGGAGATGGGGGAGGACTCACAGAGGTCTCTAAGTGTCATTGAGAAAGTGAATTGACAACAATCATTCGCTGTCTTCTCCTGATAGGAAACTAAAGGATGGTAAAAGGAAGCGAGGAGGGAGCAGGGAGGTTCTGAAGAGGAGACAGCTCTTCACCTACGCTGTCAAATTCCTCACTGCAGAATGTCATGGATGCTGGAAGCTTGCTTCAGTTCTGTGCAGCACAGGGGAAATTCACAGAGAAATTTCCACAGAGGATTGTTAAATACAAAGCCTCTGACTGAGGAAGCTCCTGAGTCACAAATCACTGGAGATTCAAGAGTATTTGTGAGAGAACCAGCATATGCTGTATTGTCATGGACTTACTGCTGTGTGTGGTGCTGTTAGGTGCTGTTGGGTGGATGGGCTGGCTGGGTACAGTTCTTCCCACCACATGTGGGACCTGGGACTGAGTAGGCTTAGGAGAACCAGTGTCACAGTCAAAACAAGTGAAAAATGGATATTCAAGGAGTGACTGTGAGATTTTTGCGGGGGATATTCCATAATAATTAGACATCCAGGGATAGTGAGTGGTTATCCAGTAATGTTTTCCACAGC